CCCCCCCCCAAACAGATGTCCTGTTTAACAGATGGTAGCATAGTTTAGCATGTTTGGAAAGAGACAGGTAGGACCCTACCCCGAGACTGTTATAAGCACTCCAGAAGTAGCGTCAGTCCATCTCACTTACGACTACAATTCATAACATCAAACATAGAAGGTAGGGAGAGGATAAGGAACGAAATACCAGCCAGCGTTAACAGGCTAATCCAAGCCTTCCCTTCTTTCAGCCACACCTGGCCCAACTCCTACAGGCATCATCACAGCAAGACGACAAGCAGATGACATACTAAGAAACGGCAAGAACTCTGAGGTTAAACTGTGTTATCAACAGGTTGTGCTCTCCAGAGGGATATGGCTTTGAGGTAAGCTCCCACACTCTAGATCTAGCTCTTGTGCAAAGCTGTCACAGACTGCAGCAAATTTCATACTCACATAATACAGTTGCACAACTTGGACAACCTCCCAATGTTTCTAGGAACAAGAGGCATAGGAAAAACACGCTACGTATAACTGCAAGAATAGCTGAGTATGTGTGTACATAGTATATAAACTACAGTAGCTGTATACCCTCCTGGGCAGCCAGGTAAAAAGGGCTAATTTGTTCTTTAAGGGCCTCATGTAAAAGTTAACTGTCCGCTATAAAACTCATGGGAAAAGACCTGACTTTCACCCAGCTACATGAAGGAAGGAATGATCACTTAAGACTCAGAAGTGCCACCTGGCAGGGCTAGCCCTCTAAAGCATTTAAGTGAGTCAGATTTTAAAAGTGGCCAAAGATGGAATCATTTAGAACAACTGAACACTTGTTTCCTCATTTCTAAGCCTGCAGCCTGCTCAAACTTCTGAGGTTCTCTGCATCAGCAAGCAGTAGAAATTCACATTTTCTTAAAGCAAAACTGTAGGATTTTGTTTTGTGGCTTCTAGGCAGAAGAAAGCATATTAAAACTACTTGTAGTAATGGAACTGAAAGCGTTAAGGCAGCAGTTGCTGCTCTCCGGAGACTTCTATTTCACGGTGTTCCAGGATTTACCAGCCCAAATATGTCGTCATCGCCCTAAAAAGACACCAGAATTCAGGATCATTTAATTATTTACTTAGCGGCTCTTCCTAATTACATAGACAATTTGAACCAAGGAAACGCTTTGTTTAAATGCTAGTAAGTTATGCACAGGCTGGCATTTAGAGGCCCATATCCTGAGTTGACAGCTGTCTAGACTAAACAATCAAACTTTAGAGAAAACATTTATTTCGTGCATATTAAGGCACCACTGAGATCTGGTCTTATTTCTTCATTTTGGCAGAGAAATTCACAGGCTACTTCCAGAGCTCAAGAAGCAGGGAGGAGTCGGCCGGCATCTCAGCCCGGCTGGCAGCTGGGCCGGGGCTGACCTCTAGTGGCCCGACAGTGCTTGCTTCCTCTCCGAAGTCCACCCCCGTCCGCGCCTTTCCACTCCGTTCTTTTTAGATTACATCTCCTGGATTTCAATCCACTTTCCAGAATGCAGCATTGAGCACTTCACACGGTCTGTGAAGAGTGATCAAAGAAACGGTAGAAAGCCATGCCAGGCAGACAGGTATTCTCATCTCCATAATGATACCTGCAGCGTTACGTAGAACAGTGCTGTGGCTTCTACTTGCAGATATTTGAGAATAGTAAAGAATATTTCTTTGAGGAGTAAGAACATTCAATGCTTTGGCAGCCCAGTCATATCCAGTCATAAAAATTATCTTGAATTCAAAATACAGGTGACAAAAATACAGCTATTTGAGAGCACGGAAATGGAAGGGAGACATGGGACCCAACCTACAAAAGGTAGATGACACTTTAGGACTTCTGTCAATAACAGCTAAATTAGCAAGGCCACTTCACCCATGTAAATAAACTTCCAGTCAGACAGACATTAGGTACTGCAACAGAGGTGACAAAAAAACAGAGGAACACCAAAGAACTTAGCTGGAAAGCGCCTGCCTCAAATTGTTCTCCAGAGCTTTACAAGGGAGGAAAGTTTGGGGACAACCAACAGTGAAGGCAAAAACACAGTTCATCTCTCCCTGAACAAATCATAGTATTTGAAAGCATGCTCCTTTGCTGTACACATACGGATGTATAAAAGACCTTTGTCTTTTATAAGCAAGCTGCAAGAAAACTTCCGAAAGAAGGCAAGGTTCCACCAATATTTTGGACCTGGACAAAGCATCCAAGATGATGGTTTAGAAAAAGGCTGGGGGTGGGCACAATGCCCAGGATTTCCCTACTTTGTAGCTGGCAACTATTCGCTATTAATATTTGAATAGTAATACTTGGTATTTCAGAGCAGGGCGAAAGAACTTGAACAGCTAAGAATGAGATCCACGAAAGCTGGCAAATACTGTCTTTGGCCCTCTTAAAAAAAATACACCAAGCTTCAGAGTCTCTCCATCTCATTCTTCCTTTAGGTAACTCGAGAAGCAATTCCACTGAAGGTATTTCTGCTGCTGCAGATAAGTCTCTAGGGCCTGTTAAACAATAAAAAGTTAGGCTTGTTTTACGTTTTCCAGTTACAGAGGAGGAAAAAAACCTCACAAGCCTGCAGAGATCAGGCTAATTTCTTGAAATAATCTTGTTTTAATCATCCAAGTTACTTTCTGATCGGGCAGCCTAGCAGGCAAATATTTCATGTTACCTAATAGCATCTGACTACTTTAACATGGAAGATGGGGGAAGGAAGGTGCCTGTTGAGCCAAATATAATGCCTCTCTTCAGGCACAAAGAAATAATGATGCCTCTTCCCCAGAAAAACAGATTCAGTCCCCTGACTTCGCCTACAGCAGTAATACTAAGGAGTATGGGAAAGGACATGGTCACACTCCTTTAGGAAATAAACTTAGAGGCACAAGCATCCAAAAATGGAAGCATGAGTGTTACAATCTGAGGTCAGGGATTTGAAAGGAGCTGAATTACACTAGCTTCTCACATAAAGAGCTCTAATCACCAAGAGATCTAGATCCTCCCCTCTTTCAACAAACCAAAACAGGACTATTTTGAAAACAGAGTAAAGTTTCTCAGATGTTAGGCCGCTTAAGTATAAAGAAATACTCTCTACCCAAACTCATGATGTTTACTTCATTATCTCTTCAGAGCTTAAACCATAACGCTTAAGCTAAAGTGTTTGTCCTGCTTACAATAATGAGCATTTGTTAAGATGCAAAGGAAGTGTTTTTATTGCAAGCACAGTGAGCAGAGAGTGGGTTCCATCTCACACAAACGGGACCGAGGGCAGATTTAAATCACACCCCCTTCTGTGTTTTTAGTGCTCATTGTTGTCAGGTGTACATCATTTCTGCCATGTGAGACATTTTCTTTGGAATATACAAGTAATATTCCATGTAGCCCGAAAGATCTTCAATAGTCACATCATCCACAAAGGCCCTGGCTTGCTCAGAGCAAGAGCGTGGAGAACTTGAGGGAGTTCTTGATGGCAAAGGCTGGGAACAGTCCTCAGCAACCGTTCTTCTTTCAGGTGCCAATGGGAGGGTGTTCTGCAAACCAGAGAATTTGTACACTTCCATATCTTGCCATCGTTTACACTCGCAGGCCTTATCTGCACATGCACATGGCTTATTTGTGTTTAGCTTAGACACAGATTCAAAGTCAGAAAGCTCCGTAGTCTTTAGACTTGTTTTGGACACCAGAGAAATGGCAGCAGGAGACTCTTCTGATTTGTTCTGTGACACCAACTCTGTAACAGAAGCTCCAAAAGACTCAACATCAGCTCCCTTCCGATTAAGGTCAGGAGCTATGTGGCATTGTTCACGTGCACAAGCTGCCTTTGTGGCTGGCATCCCAAACCCAGTGCTGTCATCTGGGGCGTCGATCTGGCTCTTGCGTACCAGCTGGTTGCACGTAGAATGTGATTTTGTGCTGCAATGGATAAACTTTGGAGGATGAAGAATTGGAGACTTGGAACGCCTGCGACGCTGGGTTCTCACAGCTCCTCTCGTAGGCTTCTTCACAGACCTGCCACGGAGATACACAAAAGTGACTGCAGAGTCAGTAAAGGCCTTATCACCGGGTGTCAAATAACACCAGGCAAAATCTCAGGTGCATTTATATTGCGTGCAGGAGCTTTACGCTCAGGGTATTTGCACAAGACCCATATCTTGGAATTTGACATTGTTCTAGTCAAGCATCTGTATACAATATAAATACATATGTAATAAAATAGATAATAGAAAAGGAACCCCATGAGAAATGAAACCTAAAGCTTGTGCCTTTGAGGATGGAAAAAAAGTAAAGCATGTAGGACAGTATTAACAGACCTTTAAAAGAAGAACAGTATGACACTAGTGAATCAACGCAAAAAGGACAGTTTTGTTTCAATAAGAGATCTGAGCGCAAAGTTCTGTGCGGACCCTCAGGAAATCAGTTCTTGGTTTTAATCTAGTTCCCAAGGCAGCCTCTGCAACGTCAAACAATTATGGAAACAGACACAGTCTGGAGAGAGATCTGCTTTTTTTTTTTTTTTTCCTCCAAATCACATCTGTATTACAGAAACACGGATCATGCTTCTATTCATAACACTGGAAAGCACTTAAGCATTTCACTTCACTCCAGAAAACTGTAAATAAGAATAGTTATATGTGAACAGAAAAGGGAGTAGAGCATATTTTAAATATTCTCTTTTAAAAAGAAAACTTGGGTCTCATTTAGGGGCCTAGTCAATAGAATACTTGGCTACTTAAAGCTCAGTTTCAATGCAATCACGTTTGAAGTACTTGGACAATCCCAAGCTTCTCTTACCCATGCCAGGTTTCCTTAGAAGTACACACATTCTTAGGCTTGGTTTCCTCTGCAGCTGTTCTAACTAGTGCTCTTGGGCTTGTCCCTTCACCCACAGAAAGAGAAGCAATAGACCTGTGAAACAGAGAGAAAGGGGAAGGGAAAAAAGGGGGGGGGGGAGGAGGGAGAATGAGAATTTAACAAGAGTCTGGACTGTTTGGGGAAAGAAGACTCAAACTTTTTCATTCTCATAATACTGATCAGATTACGTCAAATAATTTTTAGCGTTATCTTAAGAGACCTGCCCACAAAGATCACCCAAATCAGAACAGCGTTTACATGTTCACACATCAAAAGCTGGCATAACAAACTTTTGCTGAACACGATTCTAATCAGCAATTAGGTTTCAAATCCAAACTTCACACATCAATAATGCAGCACACAAGAGCTTAAAAAAAAAAAAAACCACCACACACACACACAACCAACAACCCACACTGAAGAAACGGGCCTCTTTTTCCAGAGACAAATAAGCCATTCTTTCCTAAAAATAAATGTTCTTTGGTTATAAATAGACTTTGTTTATCTGAAGAACACTTATGCCTCTGTCTAGGGAGAACGTAAGCTAAAACTCTTCAGACTACTGCAAGTTCAACCACTTGAGCGACAGAGTTGCATCACACCGTCTTCTACTTCTATTCAAGTCAGAGATCTTAGATTTACTAATTTCTCTGGGGCTACAAATCCATCCCAAATTCCCATTTCCAATACACTGTGATAACCTCAGGAACACTTCTTCCAAGCTGAGACGTCACACATTAACATAGGTTTTGGAAAATCATTTCTTTGTCAGATCTAGTTCAAATTAGTTTAGAACATGGTGGATTTCCCAAAAAATGAAATTAAGTCTGTGCACGCTGTCCTAGGCCAGGGTCAACTCACATTTAATAGAGGCCAAACTATTACTGAAGGATCTCTCTACTTAAAAATTATGAACACAGAGCAGTAAAACTGAAGGCCTGCAATAAAAACTCTACCATAATTAAAAAAATGTCTGACATGTTAGAGGAGAGGGGAAGGGAAAGGGAGGCAGACTGGAGACACTGATGAAAAGAGAGGCACCAGGGTGGTGACGGATTGCTAATGAGTCTGACTAGTTAAATGAAGGATAACTTTAGAAGTCCCACTATTTGTCATTTAAGTTCTACAGTAATTCATATTTACGCAGTGCCTTCACCAGCATACCTGCAGCACTGGCAACTGCTTACTGAAACACAGTATTATACATGTAATGCGCAATGATGCCCGTATGCCAGCAGAAAGAGCATGACAGATATGCTAACTTTTTATTTTAGACAAAAAAGATTGTCGCTAACAGAAGACACGTGCTGCTTGCGTTCTATTACCTAGGGCAGCAAGGTTAAGTGGCACATGTGTCACATCTCCTAGGTAATAAGATGACACAACAAGCATTCTTCCCCATTTGGTGTTTTCAGTTACGAACAGGAAATATGTTAATGACATCAATGAAAGCAGTTTGCATCATAAACGAGCACTGCATCTAACACCCTTCTTACTAATATGGAAAAAAACATTTCTCTGCAGGGAGAAGAAGGGAATTTATATCCATTAAAGGCCTTTAGAGCCATCCTAATACAGCAGCTACAATAGCAGAATTATAGTGCTACGGACATGTCCTCTGGCAACCAGATTCATGCCAGAACTCATTTCACACTGATAGCCAGTAGTTGGCAGCATACAGATTAGTTTGAAGCCTGCCGGGAGCTAGCAATCAAACAAATTACAGTTCCTTTAGAAATGCAACTTACAATGAGTGAATGTATTTCAATTTGCTTAACTAGAATGAAGCCTTTCAATGCCTAACCTTTTGAAATTATCTCATTCCTTCAGATTTAATGGTGTTTCCTTCCAATCCATTTGCAATATGTTAACACTGTACTTGCCTAGAGTCTTACTTACCCAGCTGTGTCAACTCTTAACTTTTTGAAAGCTGTCTGTAGGCTTTCCTCTTCTCCATCCTTAGCTTCTGTTTTCATTATTGAGGTGGTCAAAAGCTGATAGAGTTACCATATACTGCTAAAAGCAGAAAAGAAACATATGAAAATAAGAACGAATGCCTGGTTAAAAACATTAGTTGCCCAGCAGCATCATAATACACTAAAAATAAACTCGAAATAGCACACTGAGCGCATAAAGCTGAGGTCATTGTAGAAGAACTTTTCTGAAAGTTGTTCAGAACAAGCTTTAAGATACCCAAGAATGGCATAAACAGTCTCCTGCATAACTGCATAAATGAATTTGCAATTTACAGTAAAATCTGGTGTCAACGGTGCCTTGCTTATCCAAATAAGTCTAGACAGATTCTCCCATTTCTCTTAAAGCCATTATCAGAATAACTCCAGGAGAAGAGGTGGAAGACAGACATATAGCACCACTAGAAACAGTCAACTTCCTACAGGCCATTACATTACAATTGTCCCACCCACTGTACCACTTCAGTGGGTCACATTAGTTACACAGTTTTTTGATGTGCTCCGTAACCAGCTGCCACCACTGTCAACTTGGCAAGTGGAGAAGGGCAGAAGGATTCTTTTCAGAGTGCGTTCGCTTTTTTCATTAATTTGTTTAAAATGAACGTTATCCAAATTTAATTACATTCAAACTACAGTAAAACAGTGCAAGTGAGTTCAAGCGTAGCTATTCTTGCTTATATAAATTGAACCGTTGGAAGAATAAACTCAAAGCAGGAGTCCGAAGTTGACAAGTCCGCATGTTGCACTTCCTGGCCTTTACAAGCAGAATTTTTAAACGTAAGTAACAACCAAAAGCACTTTTGGTTCTCCTTACTTTTATTTTCAATTTACTTGTAAAACGCAGGTATAAAATTTTGAGTTAAACGATCCAGAAGCAGTAAACTCAGAAAAACAGCTCCCAGTTCTTGGCAGAAGTGGAATCCTGTAGCAGGTAAAGATTGTGAAAGGACCTAAAGAATCACAATCCTCAAAATCACTCGCACCATCCAAAAGAAATTTTCTAACTACGCTGGCAATCCAGGCTGTCCCGACCTGGAACAGTTTACTGCAGTTTGTACTTTCCTTGTCTCATGAACATGTTAGTTATGTCAATAATATTCTGATAGGCTTCCATCATGTGAAAGCCCATCTGAAGTACTTTAATAAAAGCTACTAAAGTTATTTGTATACGTTTCAAGTCTAACCCCTATCCAGTGCAGTTTAGTAAACACCAAGTGAAAAGTTGAGAATAAGCATGTAAATGTATGAATTTCCATCTTTACATAGCTTGTATCAAAGCATATTTTACACTTGTGTAATATTCCCCTGCTTTGCAAAAGTAATGCATTTATATCAGAATATGGTATATTGCCTGCCAAATGGCCATTAAAAACTGAGGTATTACTTTTAAAATCTATCCTGGCCATTATTTAATCTAGTCACAAAGGGAACTTAAGTCTTACTATATTTGTTGCTCCTCAGTACTTTGCAGTTTTGTAACCATTTGCAAATGTTAAATCAGCCATTCCACCACTGTAAAATATTTCAAAAGGCTTGCTTCATTAACACAAGGTTTGCTTTTACTGAGCAGTACCACCGGCAGTGGCAAATCTCACTTCTACGTGAGAGTACCCTCTAGATCATCATTCGATTAAGTTTACCTGGCTGATCAGTCAGATTTATTTACTATTTATTGAAAAGAACATACTTCTCACCTATGAAGTCTCCATTAACGCACATGAGAAAGTCTGTACACAGAGGTATGTTGTCATTCAGGTCTCCACAAAACTGCTCTATAACAGGATACAAATCAAATACATCTTCCCAAAGGTTTAAAATCTCAAGTCATTATGAAGATAACAACCTAAGTCAGCAAACTGCTAACAGCTGCTCTAATGAAAATACATTCATACAGAGCACTGACTACCTAATTATGCAGCAGTAATGCTTATATTAATTTTACTTTTACCAACTAAGTTCTAGCTCTTTTGTAATCTGGAAAAGAAGAAAGTCTAGGTGAAAAGGGAGGAGCGATCAGAACATCAACAGATCAGTTATTTATGTGGATAAAGAATGGTAACTTCTGTCACCTCATAATCTCCTTCAAGCAAAAGGTGGTAGCTCCCCAAGCTGTTCTTTCAGCTGCTTGCTCTACCATGATTCCAAACAGACATTCTTCTTTATTGCGGGCAGCCATTATGACACACAGGATGATGCATCATAACTTTAAAGGCACACACTGTCCAGTGAGTCATACAGCAAGTACACATGAGATGAGGAGACTAATATAGAGACTGACAACATGACACTCATCTGAGCAGGTTATTTTAAATACTCTTGGTTAAATACTATTACTTTGATGAAACATAGAGTCTCTACTTCAGTAGAGTTTTTCCTTGACTCAAAATGAAAGCTCTTTGGAATTACAAACTCAGTCTAAAACTATTTTTAAAATAGTAAAACCATGTATTACACAGACTTAAGACAGGAATACGAATATTTAACAAGAAAAGGGCACTAGAAAGTTTTAATCACTGTGCATCACTCAAAATGGACTATCAGTCTTAGACAAACCATTTTATTGTGCTACCCTTCATCACTGAAGCAGCAAACCCTCAAAAGAATACCAAATTTACTCAGACAAAGATCCATTCATTTTGAAAATTAAATATAAGCATACGCATTTCAGATACATCAACCAACTAGTACTGATTTCTGAGAAAACCCAATTACTGTGCAAAACAACTAAAGTCTAATGCTGCTTTGGAAAGTTCATACAAAACTACTTGCTGTTTTTCTGTTTTCTAGCGAGGTATACATCTACCCTTTCCTATTTTATCTTCAAGGAATGCCCAGCAACATTGGGCTACAAACCCACCTTGCATTGCAAGACACCCACACTGCTCATAAAACGATGATGATATAAAGCATAAACACACGTGCTTCATTTTGAAAACAGACACGCAAAAAGATTATAAAGCTCGAAGAATCTCACGGCCAAGGATTTTATAAGCGAGCAAGATTAAGTACCCTGCACGGGAATACAACTTGCTGCGCTTCAGTGGGGCCTAACGGGGGTAAAGAGACCGAAAAGCTAGGAGTTGCTACGAGGAACCAAGCAGTAGCATTTTTCCCTTATAGGGGCCCCCTGTTCCCCTGCTAACCCCGGCGCGGGCCGCAGCGGACACCCCGGGCCGCAGCCCCCGG